ATCTCTGCTTTTCGCCTTGGCACAAAACAAGAGGAGCCAGCCAACTTTCGTCCTCTGATAATCGTCTTTCATGATGAAGAAGAATTCCAACGCATCCTGAGACGGACCCTGCGCCTCAAGGGATAAACCATCTACTTCTGAAATACCTCTCCCTCGAGGACCGAGTCCGAATGAGGCAAGCTGTCTGCGAACTGCGAACCCGACGCGCAACTGGAGAAACAGATCTACACATAGTGGATTTTCGCGTAGTCAAAAGAACTCAGAGAGCTCGATGGAGGCCAATTCTCCTTCTTCTAGGACCTCAAACATAAAGAACGGACTACGGGTAATACTCGCGAATATGCGCAGTCTCAGGAACAAGCTAGATGAGATTCCACTCCTTATCTCTGAACAGCAACCAGACCTAATGGCGTTCACTGAAACCTGGCTGTCATCTAATATATCTGACTCGGAGGTTCATGTTTCAGAATATCAGCTACTTTGATGCGATCGCTTTGGTGGCAGGTCTGGAGGCGGAGTAATCCTATACACAAAGAACCACCTCAAGGCCCACAGTGTCGAAGCCGATTTTGACAAGGATGATATGTCGGAAAAGCTCTGGTGTCGAATTCATGACGGATACCAGTCGCTGATGGTCGGGGTGGTCTACAGAGCCCCTGCAGCACCTGGCTCACACCTATTACGTTCCGTGCGAACCCACAGCAGAGGAACAAACTGTCCCTTTATGGGTGGCTTCAACGCCTCCGACATAATCTGGGACCTACTTCACAGTGATCTCTCACCTGACTCCTTTGAACTTGATCTCATTGATACCGTTCACGAGTGCAACCTGACACAGCATGTCTTGACACCAACACGGATGGTCCCTGGTCAGACACCAAACATTCTCGACCTGGTTCTCACTTCGGCACCATCTGATGTCTCAGATCTAACGATCCTCCAACCTCTTGGGAAGAGTGACCACTGTACAGTCTCCTTTTCGTGGACACGACGCCTCACAATTCACGATCGGGGGACACTGCATCGAAATTTCTGGCGCACTGACCAGCCCAGATTAAGAACGACTGCAAGTAACATGGACTGGAGTATTCCACAATCCTTGGAGCTTGATGACGCATGGGAACGCCTGCGACCTATGATGATGCGGCTCATTGAATAGTTTGTTCCAAACTGCAAGAGCAGACCACTATCCAAAGGATCCCCATGGATTGATAAGGAAGTAAAATCCATAATGAAAAACCACGAAAACTATGGGATCATTTCAAGAGCACAGGACTGACATCAAGCTACTTAGAGTACAAGACTGTCAGAAACCTATGCATCCTGAGAAAACGAGACAAAAGACTACAATATGAACATGGACTGGCCATGGAATCTCAAAACCGTCCCAAGATACTTTTTGCCCACTTGAAGCGAAATGCCAAAAATGGTAGTGGAATCCCCGCTCTATCCTCTTCTAAGGAAGGTACCGTTCTCTACGGTGATGATGAAAAGCAAACCTATTAGCTACGCAATATTTCACCTTCTACTCAGTGGAGTTACGACTGCTCAACAACTGTTTGCCTGCACACTACTGCTCTAGCGACAAAGTTGAAATTAACCCCGAAGTAGTCTTAAGCTACTCCTCGAACTGGACCCGAACTCCTCCCCAGGCCCGGACGGATTGCATCCCAGCTTCCTCAAAACGATAGCTGAGTACGTCGCAACCCCTCTCTGCCAAGTGTTTCGGCAATCCCTCGTAGTCTGCTGCCTACCCACAGGCTGGAAAACAGGTACCATGCTGCCCAAATACAAGGAGGGAAACCAACAAGACCAAGCCAACTACCGGCCAATATGTCTGGCATCAGTCATATGCAAAACCATGGAACGAATAGTCAAGTGCGCTCTCCAGCTACACTGTGTGAATCTAAACCTCATCTCACCTGCTCAACATGGCTTCCGAAGAGCACGCTAATGCATCACTAACTTACTCATCGCCAGGGAAACATGGGCAGAAGCCATAGATGCCCGAAAACAGGTTGACGCAATATTCATTGACTTCAGTAAAGCCTTTGATAAGGTGCCACACGTACAACTGCTACATAAACTCCAGGGAATTGGTATTACAGGAAATCTTCTCTCCTGGATTGCCAATTTCTTAAGAGGTAGGACAATGCGCGTACAAGTGAACCAACCCCTCTCTGCTCCAGTGCCTATGATTAGTGGCATTCCCCAAGGATCAGTGCTTGGACCGGAGCTCTTCAAACTGTAACGATCTGCCGACTGCATTTCAAACCGACTGCTTGATCTACGCTGATGACCTCAAGCTATGGTCAACAGTATCCAGCATTGAGGATGCGGACAGATTACAAGGGGCTGTAGACCAGCTACACGAATGGTCCATCAGGTAGGAACTGCCAGTAAACCGAGATAAATGCGCTGTTCTCCCAATGGGTAGCACTGAACCGTAGGGTGCATACCATATTGGTGGGTTTCTCCTCAGGAATACCACCCACGAGAGAGATCTCGGGATTACCGTGACTTCTGACCTTAGAACGAAGCAGGACACTTTGAAGAAGGTGGCCACTGGGAGGAGACTGGTGGGTGCCTTAAGAAGATCATTCGCTCGAATGACTCGTGAGATTTTTTGACCTTTGTTCACTTCGTACGTCCGTCCAGTCTTAGAATATGGCATACCATCTAGCCATCCGCTTTCAAAGTTTGAATGCACTCTGATGGAAAAGGTTCAGAGACATGCATCGAAAGCTGTTTTGGGGCTTCGTGATCTCCCGTACCCAATTCGACTCCAGCAGCTAAATCGGTTCTCCCTCGAGCTCCACCGTCGCCGGGGTGATCTCATCTACACCAGGAGCATCCTCCGAGGGGAACTTGGAAGTGAGTTACAACAATTCTCCCGGTCCAATACTGACTGTTCCACACGAGATCAAACATGGAAACTGTTTAAGCAAAGAAGACACAGAGTTCGCGTAGACCTCACCCTATCCACTAGAGTGGTGAATGATTGGAACAGCCTACAGGAAGAAATTACAGACACTCCATCCGAGGAAAGTTTCAAGCAGCTGATAGACAAACATTCGCTGAGAATGCTGGAATCTTGCGTCTGTCACTGCAATTGCAACGAACCCTCGAGGAACGTCGGAATGCAACGACACGCATCAAACCCAGTATGATACGGAATCGATGGGGCTGACAAGGGATTTCCCTCCTGCTCTCTACAACTCAATGAAATCAATGAACTCAATGGACTAGGACTGTTAGTATTTCGAGCACGGCAGACTGAACTACATACACAAGGAACAACTGCCAGTGACAAAACAGCAAGAAAGAACAACATTTTGATAAGATAAGCTGAATTCAGCTATTCCGCGTATTTTTGTCAGCCGTTTACATATACTTAGTGGATTGGATAGATTGCAAACAAAGATCATCAGGATGTAATATACACCACGTGCATTCATGTAGCCGCTACATGAATGACCATTTTGTCGTTGTACACACTGCCGAGCATGCAGAACAACTACTGTTGGCGCTAAGTACTGTTACCCCGCAACCCAATTTACAGTTGAGTACGAAGCTTAAAAAGCCTTCCAAATTTAGATATTTGTTTAAACGAAACGTAAATAGTCACTACCCAAGCAGCGTTCGGGCCGAGTGCAGCGCCGCAACAGTTGATCGATCCTCAAGTAACTATCGAAAGCGAATATATAGGAAAATGTGAATCTATGAAGAATCAACGGCAAGTCGTACCATGAACTTGAGCAGCTAAAGTTGTGTTTATCACTATTAATTTACATCTCCGGTTTGGTTGTGTTAGCGTTATGCTACAACCTATTTGTTGCACCATGCTCTCACAATATAATCAGAATCGGCATCGGAATAAATAAATAAATAAATAAATGATGTATAGTCTCCATTGCACACAAGAAACGCCATCGAAGGCTTGATCAATTTGTACGACTAGCAATTGTCTGACTGTGAAGGCAATAGTTGCATTCAGGACTAAATTGGTGTGCTATCTAATGGTGCCACCAGTGCATCGGGGCAGACTGAAATCTAAGAGTATTATCGCGTCAAGTCAAGTCAAGAAATCGTTTTTCTGCACCCATGAAGGGTGAATTTTTAGCCATAACACACGCGATCGAGACGGTAAAACGAACAACACTGCAACCTTATAATGTGCTCCTGGCAGTATGATTCCCTTTAGCAGTGAAAACAGCCTGAGTGAAGCTTACGGGTTTGTTGGAAGCCAATCATGAGGCGATAACAGGTTTTGTGGCGATAGCAATACGGCGCCCATCGACCGGTCATCACATACGGCTAGGTTGTTTACCTCAATTGCTAGCACAGCGATACACTTTGCAGGAAACCCTTTTGCTGGCTTTGCGGTTGCATGAAGGCCGACTACCGATCAATCGAAACATGACACCTTCAGTGTGGCTATGTGATGTCCGGCTCACGTCCAGTTCTCACAGCTGGACGACGCACGTTCCCTATGTCTTGCCATGCGGTCGAGGCATGCCGCATTCATTGCGGCTGTGGTGTCTGGCTAACGTTCACTTCTCACAGCCGAACGGCTCGGTGTGCTCTGCGATCGGAGGCACACATGTGGCGTCCGTGTCCCATCGCACCCCTGCCGCCAAAGCGATTCGCGCGATTGGAAGGTTAGCAATTCAGCGTACCGGTTGTACGTCAGCACCTGAGTGCAGCGGTTTCTAGCTCTGAACCACATTAACCAAACACCCAGTATATTGGCACGTAGTGTTTCTGCTAAAAGCTTGCAGCGTAAAACTCCAGTGCACTTCTGCCTTGCGCACACAACCCTTACGCTCTATAATGCTTATTAACACGCGACGACATAGTAATTTTAAAAAAAGCCTTTTTGCAACCACCATGTCGTCCGTGGTGCGCTGACTGGGTAGGTATTTCGTTACCCGCCCATAAATTTGTCAGCTTAATCTATTGCCCCGACAAATGCGACGATGATCCAGCAAAGGACAATTGCAAGGCATTATTTACTTAAAATGGTAACAAGATAGAACCAACTGAAGCGGTTTTGGCGTTAAGCATTTGAGAAGAACCAAAGTGCTGCTTAGAAAAACATAACACAAGGAAATGCCCAATAAAAAGGTAAGAACAAAGAAAACGCTTGTCATGCGCACGCAAAATGGACGAAAACGACAGGGATGGTAAACCTGGTTGAGAGTTCATGGCCGTCTAATATGTCATAAGTGAAGAGAAGAATGTGCAATTTGTGCATTGTTCAAAAGCAGGAGATTTAAAGCTTTTTTGAATAATTAAAACTTGCAAGGTGAGAGTAAAGGAACCGTTACACGGTATTGGGCAAAAAGATAATGATAACAACAAATTAAAAGTAAATTGTTGGGGAAAGGCACTGATACAATTTGTGCATACTGGGAACGTCAACCTGCTAACAGGCTTCCAAAACTTCGATCAGAACCAAGTTTGAAAGTACGTCTTAATGGTTTGTGATAATGAAGTGTCTCTGTCGAACTGTGCCACAGTTGCCAGCATGCCGGACAAAAGTACCGAAAGCACTCAAAGGCTCGACAGAAGTATATTCCGGGACTTGTTAAGCAGTTGTTGCACAACGAATCCTCCAGATACGGGTCGATTTGTATAGTTTTGACGAATTTTGAAGTGCGAACGTCCACGAAATTGGCCGTTACCGCCCGCATGTAGCTCTTGTGGCTGGAAAAGGCAACCCTGCCTGAGCCTACAAAATCAGAAAGTCATTGCAACCCTTTAAAAATATAAACCAAAAGTGGTACGACTTTTTAGTGCGTCCAGTGCAGTACTACTTTTGAACACTGCAAAAGTATCAGCCATCAACATTATTTCTAGGCAACGTTGGAACTTCTGCTTTAAGTAAAGACGTTGGACCTAACAGCAGCTATTTGGTCTCGAAGTTCAGTAGCCTGCAAATTAAACGTTTTGTCATATTGTTGCCAGACTTTTAGCGAAAATGCTTTTGCACGTTCGGTCGGCACGGATAAGGAGGTGTGTTATCTCGCTAACGTTGGGCGCCACCTTATTGCCACAATAGCATACAACGTACCTTCTACGTAGCCTCAATTTGACAGTTATCTATAAAAGCCTCGCTTTGACAGTTGTAACTCAGTCAGTGCCATGTAGCTAAGACGTTTATGTCAAACATTTACTAGACTACTATGCATGTTAAATTTCAGATTTACCTATCACAACAATTTTGGCTGTCAGTTTGGTAACTGGAGGTTTTGTGGAACTATAGAAACACTAATGCAGACCATCGGAAGCAAAGGAGGCTGACTTTTAACTTACCTATTGGGTATTTATACTTGTCGGTGTCAAGAGCCGCAAATACCACATTTCCAAACAGGTCATTCATGATGGTCACCAGCGCCTCAGCAGTTATCATCCCATGTAAAGCACCAATGAAGACCGTTCTCTTCGAATCTGGCCGATATGGTCCCGCTTTGGTGTACTGACTATCACTAATAACCCAAGGAATTACCTACAACGAAAATAACTGTCGGTAAAAACAATCGTTTAACATGCATAAAGGAAGATAGATTTGACGGAATATATGAGGGGAGTATGATGACCAAATGACAGTAGGCCAATAGATCGAGCCTAGACAACAACCTGCAAAGCGGGCTGAATATTTAAACGTCAATCAACAGGATTCTCTGTTCACTCTGTGACGCGTCAGCGTCCGTTGCAAGCCAACGAACAAGATGACTGCAGGAAATCGGAATACCTGTAGCTCGGCTTGGTTGTTCAGGATTTGTTCGGTTCGCCAAACTGAACAATTTCGTTGCAGAGGTTTCATCACCAACCGAGGTGACTTCGTCAGTGCGTTGTAGAGTAACTCAATAGTTTGTGGACACTTGACCGATGAACGAGGGATGTTTGAAATTGACCAGTTCGGTTCTGGTCCCGTGACTATTGCTAGTCGTCGCCTCTTTCAGTCTCACCTTGTGAATAGCTCGCCTAAATTCGCGCTTTCGCAGGTGATACTAAACTAGATCTAGGTCACTGCGCATGTTTATTGAATTCTCCGTACTGAACCAAGCCACTAGGAATTCCGTTCCTTTTCTTGTCTCTCCCTGCGCTAGCATTTGCCTTTTCTCTCTGTCAAGCATGTGCGCTTCCTCGTCAAAGTGTGTCGAGACCTATGATGATGAGTAAGATGTCGTCCTGCTTAGCCTAGAATACCATTGTCATTTTCTCTACTCGCTGCCTTCCCATTTCGTCATTTGTCGTTAGAGAGGGTCATCTAGTGCGTTTTCGCCTTCCATGCAGTCACCTCAGGCTCAGTCCTCCATTGGCAACTGTGACAGAGACGTCCACCTCTCTATGAAGCGTAAGTCAGGCGCACCCTTCATCCAGCACCGACTTTTACTAGGTGCATATGAAGTAGTTGTTTGGCCTTTCAGCCCCTCGGTTATTTACGACCAAAATATACACCGGACACAGAATCCCTCGGAACCATCGACCGGAAGCGTACTACAAATCCGATCATCCTGCCGGTTGGCAGTTCCTTGGCTGTAAGTCCGTACTTCGTGCTTTCTAGTAGATTTCCGTACCATTTAGGCCGGCAGATTCTTGCCGCTATGTAGCAGCTACTTGTGACCTGGCAGGCAACATGGACGCCCCACGTAATGTTGCCTCGGATGGACCATGTTTCCGCTTTTGCAGAAGACAAAGCATTCAAACAAGTGGCACCGTCCTGATGGCCAGTTCAAATCACTTTCAAGTGTTGTGTTGATAGCGAGTAGTGAAACAATGGAACTTTACCCCATGAGGTGTTCAATGTTCCTCTTATACTCACCTGAACATCCTTGGATTTGAACGTGGCACTAGAAATTTTGTAATAGTCACCACCGGTCGTGGGATCACGAACACACGCAGCGATTAATTCACTGACGGAAGATTCGTGTTCAAATATCAGGTAACAGTAACCTATCAAACGGAGAAAATGCCGGATGAAACAAGTTGGATAATCCAACAGAAAATACTCCTTCCCAGCAGTGTAAATATTGCTAGTCTTAGTTCTCTAAACCCAACATTCTTGCATTATGCTCATTCTGTGTGGAGTTTTAAACGTAACTTCGCTATAAGTTTTAGTCCAAACTCTTCGGCTCCTATATCCAACCGTACGAATATTATTTATACTTACCCCTTGGTGTTGTGGATTTAGTACGGGCGGTGAACAAATGGTTCCCCTCTTGCTGAGGCCAGGAAACCGTCAGGGTACCAAATCGGGCGAACGCAATGAGCAGGTCTTCAGTTGTACTGTCCCAGGGGACACCTCCGAGAAAAACCTTGCGTGAGAAAGTCATCGAGCGATAAATTCTCACTGGAAGTCTTCCAGACCAGTGATAGGCAGCTTCGCTCTTTTGTGCAATGGCGCCTGCAAATCAGGAAGGAGATTTTCTGTTACTGTTAGAGCATATCGAAGTGCAGGAGCTAATTTCAAATGAATGTCTTTCGAAACGTCGACAACACTAGTTATAAAACAAAAAAATGTAAACTTACTGGCTGAATTTCGGTACAAGTTTGCAGCACGATCAATATCGTTTTCTAATGACCTTAGGAGCCGTTGATAAGGGGCAGCCAAGTAGGCTAGTTCTTTGCATAGGTTGCTTGTGGAGTGTTGCTGGAAAACGCTGGTACAATTGGTTATATCTCTGGTTTCTCCAGTGAGTTTGCTTGAATGCAGCGCTTGATCCCTGACTTGTCTGGCTCTTCCATGATCTTGAAAACTGGACAGTAAACAGTTAAGCGTGTTCGAGACGGCCTGGTGTACATCGTTCTGCTCTTCAACCTCTTCGGATGCCATCTCCTGTTGCTGTCCTGTTCCAAGTAGACTGGCAAGCAAGGCGACTGTGTTTGCATTGACCACCGAAAGCTGGTCCGCTAGGTGTGGAGTGTGAACTTCGAGGTCTTTACAGCATGGCAGCTGAGACGACGAAGTTGATGCATCGCCCATTACGTTAGGTGACAGTATTGGTATGTAGTCAGCAGTCGGATTTTGAACGAGAGCAATTAATCTGTCTATTTCTTGTGCTCTCCTACCTGGGTCATTTGAAATCGCACCATCGTTCAAGTAAGTCTGTACATTTCCCGGGTAGGACTGTGCACCGATAGTAGCAGTTGTGTTCTGCGTGGTATTAGCTTGGATGTTATTCCGGATGAGATACTCGGTATCTTGCTTCGTCAAGTAATTGGGCTGTGGTTTTAACTTCCCAGTTTTCAATTCTTGGGGCAAAGCGCTGTTTTTCATGACCAGTTCTGGATACTGATTCGCCAGCAAACGCAAAATTGGTTCCTGTGTTGACAATGAACCACTAGTCGCTAAAACAGAGAAACCCAATCGTGAAATGTGATAAGTACACATTGTACTGGGTGACACAAATATATTTCCAAGATAACGTGTTGGTGGCTATGTTAAGCATATGGCAATTTCGCGTCCCTCGCCAGGCATTATTTTGAAGTCCACCTGGTGAGGGGCATCGTAAGTCATTGTCTCCCTTGAGTCCACCATTACAAAATTCAAATGGATGACGCCCACCAGCTAACTATCAGACCATGGGGATACTTAGTTGTTGTTAAAGTTGGCGATTCATGAATATACTTTGTGAAATTTTGGCGGCGTTACCAAGTTGCACCGACTCACAGTTGAGTGCCAAATAGTATTTTGTGCACAGTAGCTAATAGTTTTAAACTAACAGGCATATTAATTTTTGGGTTTGATTTTCGGGTTATGGAACGCCCGCGGTATATCTTGGATTGCGGCACGCAATCTCCCTTATGGCCTCGGTTAATCCTGAAATAATTTTGTTATTCACGGGAAAATAGTGTGCTCCACAGCAGCCCGAACTTAAGGAAATTGGATGCCGTATAAAATGTAATTCGCACTGATGTAACAGTTACAAGTACTGTCTGATAATGTCCTACATTGCTGGGCCTGGGGCTTAGACGATTAAGGGAAGATCCATAGGCGAATGCCAAGTGTCAAAGGATTTGAATAGAGTGTCATGATGGTGCGGTTGGATTAAATGTTGGCTAAACCCACTTAATCTTTATGGTAAACTCACAGAGAATATGTCTACTGCGTAGGCCCTTCAGATTAATCACCACATCTTTAAAACACTTGTTGATATAATTATATCCACTTGGATGCCGCATGCGATAACCGTAGTTGCAGACAGGCGGGCTTCTTGATGGCGTAGTTCCACAGTGTGCATCAACTTCATCAACCAGACAGGAGTCTACCGTTCTTTAGTCAAACCTTGTCTAGCGCGACTTTTGGTAGACCACAACAAAGTAGCTCGAGAAGCAACCAGTCGAATTATACTACGTGCTATTGCGTTTTCCCATTATTGATCCGCCGTTTGGGTTCGCTTTTTCTCGTTCTTCTTTCCTAACAATATTGATGACCTGTGAGTATTCATTGAAGTTTTACCTCTCATTGATGCATAAAGTACTGATTTTACTTGCCTTGCTTCAGCCTCTTTGGCGGTGGACATCACCGGCTCAGGTGAATAATATATATATATATATATATATATATATATATATATATATATATATATATAGCCCCCTAGGTTCAAATGCTATGGATATAGCGTCTAGCGAAAGGACGTCATCACCTCGCAGTCTAGCCACTGTCAGTGACAGTGGAAGATAGGTGGTGCTATATCACAGTTAGCGTGCAAATTAGGTACCTCAGCCAACGCCCGCCACTGCTCAGTGGCTTAAGCTGCTGACTAGTTGGGATCTGCCTCTAGCGGTCATGGGTTCGATACCCAGTAGGGGACCGAGGGCATGCGCACCACTAACGAGCCCCAATAGGGCGAAACGCGTATGGGGCTTTTCCGGACTAGTCTGTGCTACGTAGCTTGGGAACTAATGGGATGAATGCCTTTAAATCTTACATCTAAAAATCATGCTGCTTGCCAATAATATGAATAATAATAAATGCTCTAACTTCAAAAACGACCCTAGAGTTCCTGTTTAACCGTAGTTCGCTAAAACCATTTTTGAAGCCGATTTACCTGACGGCGGTTAGTCATGAAGCTTGTCAACAGACAAAGTGCCCATTTAAGCTGGATCATTACAACCGACGGATCCGGTCAGACAAATACTACATGTCCGGAAAAGCGCATTTCCGAATCTGCAGTTGCTGCTGATCAAATTTGACTGAGAACAGCCCCCTCAAAGACCAAGTAACATTGAACACCGTTAACTCTGATGACCGATTTGCTTTCTGGTAAAATATCCACACGCGATTGGCTTATCAATTCAGTGTACCTTTTAATGGGCTCTATTGAGCAACCAGTAATCAATGCAGTTATACCCATATATTGTCATTAATATGAAAACTACCTTGTTCTCCTTGTCTGACGTTCTTTCTGGCCGCCAGCGTTGCTAACTGTTGACTGAGTTGCTGTAGTTGAACCAGTTGTCGTAGGTGATCATGATGGCTCTGTTGCTGCTGTTGCAAGCGACGAGCTAGGCTTGTGTACACCTCGTTAGTGGAAATCTGTGGTGAGTGTTCGAGATGCTGTTGAGAAGGCCTACCACAGTCCAATTTTGATGGCTTTGTCCCACTGGTTCCAGCACAGCCGGTGAGTTCTTCCACATATCGAGCGACAGAAGCTAAATTTTCCTCTAGCATGCGCGTTTCGTGAACTGAACCAGAGAAAGTAGCACTGGCTGAGTCATTGCACACAACGCCGCTGTCACCTAACTGGATGGCACCACGCTTCATTGCACTGTAAGCATTCGTCGGCGAGGCTCTAAGCTGGCTGTCGGCTAGTTTGGTTGCTACTGTCGAAGTCATGTAACCAGCTCCTTCAGGGGAAATATGTGGTTCCTGAATGTCATCCAGCTCATTACGATCCAGATTTAGGACATTCGTGTTGTTCTCCCCCTGGAACGGTTGACATGGAGGTGTCCACTGATCAAAACCATCACCAGTTCCAGAACAACTCGGTAAGGAACTATTGGTAATATCGCTTGAATCCGTAATTAAGGATCCAAATCCACTTGAATCTTGAATAATGCCATGCAAGCTGCCAGAATCTGCCAAATCGGTGTTGCTTATGGCGCGATTGGTCATCGTGAGGTTGGCTTGATGTTGTGTGGTTTGAGTACCGGCGATGCAGGGACGCCCCAGCGTGTAGGAGCACAACCGAGGCGTAGTCCTAACATCTGCATTCTGACGGGAAATGGGTGAGTCCGTTCGTATCTTCGGTGCCCCACCATCTACTGAAATGGAAATGGGAATAGGTTTGATCAGTTTTTGCTGCAACACGAATATTAAATTTTATCTTATGTGCCAGATAGTTCAGCCGAAACATTTCTCAAAAACCACATTTGTGCCATGTGCGAATTTCGGTGCATTCTGTGGCACGCGTACATCGTGAAACCGGCGGATTCATGCACTTCAGTCTAATGCATTCATTATCTACCCCGCCCCCTTGGTTTAGGAGAAGTGTGACAGCTGGATCGGTGCGGCGAAATAAGCGCTGAGCGGTCAGCATACAGTGCCGGCATTATGACAGATAGGTCAGAGCAATCGGTACTCCATGTCTAGGCCTTAATCTATACGAGTTCTCATCCACCGTATCCCAATCAGCACTTAATTAAAGTGCTAGAAAAAATGCTAAAGTGTGATAAGTCCGAAAATCACGCACCGGGTATTTTGATCGTAAATATGTAATCGATATACTTTACCAATCAGATCATGCCCCGGAGTTCTGTACTGGAGTCTATCAATGGTGGGTTGGACGATCACTTCCTGATAAAGCTCAACTAGCGCACAACCGCTAAACGCTGTTTACTTACCATGCTGACACATATGGTCTGCATTTGGGATTTTGATTGCAACTCAACTGCTCCGACTCGAACTCGTTAAGAACATAAAGGTAATATATTGTCAAAATGTCACAGAATCGTCTTCTGGATTTCGAAGATATTTTAATACTGTTTTCATGCAATAAATCCGATTAACTGTTTATTTTAGTATAAACCACTACAGTTATGGCGGCATTCATTAGCGCTTCACCAGTCTGCCATAAACAATATGTTATCTGATGGACACACATTCAAGGGTTAGAACAGATTGCAATACATCTTCGGTGCAGATCCTGCTGAATAAAGCATTTCAATTACAAACGTAAGGCGTGAGGAGACGGACAGTTTGATAGCGGCTACTTTGTTGTTCTCAACAAGTCCTCATCTGGGTGCGTTTTGGCCCTAAGGTCCAAGTTCGCATAACACGATAGCGTCATTAGCGCGAGATCGTTTTTACACACCTTGGTGACCCAGATTAGCTAAATCAATGGACCAAGATTTGGGGTTTTTGCAATTCCCAAAATACACTCTGGCTTGTGTTATGCAGCTAGGCATCTGGTGGAGCACTTCAGTTGCCGAAATGTGATTTCAGCAACGATGTATCGGGAATCTATTTACCATGACTGGCATCGCTCTGATAATCGAATTTAAGACGGCAACTGATTAGTACTAAAGTCAGGGTAGAAGACATTGGAGAAGAACCTTTTGACAGCATGAGTGGGGGAATCGTGTGGAAGAACATCCCTGATTTCACTAAGAAACTGTGTTGGATAAACTAACATCACTATTCGTGTGGCAGACATCAAAGGCCTATCCACGAAAATAGCGTGTCAGATTGACCGAGTCCTTCGCAGTGGCCTGCTGACAACCCCTGGGCTTTGTAAAAGTAGGAGTACAAGTTGGACACAAGGCGTTGTCTGGCAGTTAAAAAGGGCACACGAATAGAGTAACAAAAAGGGTTCGGTGTAAGTCAAACTAAAGCTTTAATGTGGCACTAGCACTTCTAGCAATAAGCACCAACTGATGACTTTAAGGGACGCTGATTCTCACAACCCTTATATGCATCGCTTCATAAGTGACTAAATTGGCTACTTTCGTATCGTCTCTCGAGCGAAATAGCGGTTTTTGATTAGACGCTAGTACCAACGGCAACGTGGTCACCTAATGTTATGTTTCCGCTTCTATAGACGATGAGACAGTGGGAAATATATAATAGGTTATATGGACCACACCAGCGTGTGAGAACTGCCGAGTTTGGGGATCGACCAGCAAACAATCTGCTGGCTAAGTACCTACCTGTCTGGCCGCACCTACCGAGTTCGTGTAAACGGCGCACTCTCCAGCGCTCTGGCTGCAACGACCGGGGTGCCCCAGGGATCCATCCTCGGGCCCCTGCTGTTCAATTTGTTCATCAACGACCTCCCATCCTGTATCAGCAGCGACATACTGCTTTACGCGGACGACGCTAAGATATGGCGCCCTATCCGCAGGCCAAGTGATCAGGCACTTCTCCAGAGAGATATCGATGCTGCTTATTCTTGGGCCTCGAAAAATTCGCTCCCGTTTAACATCGACAAGTGTAAAGTCATGCACATTGTGCAAGGTGTGACTAATCCGTACAATATCTGCGGTGTGCATCTTAATGCCACATCCCAGGAACGCGACCTGGGGACCATAATATCCGCCGACCTGAGCCCGAGCGCCAATGTAGCTACACTGGCGCGAAAGGCTAGCGTTCGCCTGGCCCTCCTTGGACGTGCACTAGGGTCTTTCCATAGAGAGACATTTGTCCGTCTCTATAGCACTTTAGTACGTCCGCTGCTGGAGTACAACATACTTGTCCAGCCGCCGTACCTGAAGAAGGACGAGGCCATGCTGGAAACTGTACAGCGCAGAGCCACTAAGAGAGTGGACGGACTATCCCACTTCTCGTATGAGGAGCGTCTGGCGGCCCTTAACCTTTTCCCGTTGAAATATCGCAGGCTTCGTGGCGACCTTAGCTTATTCCGTCCTGACTAATAACAGGCACCCAAACGCAGGATTGCTGGTCCGCGCCCGTACAGATCATCTTCGAGGGCACTCACTCAAACTGATGACTCGTAGCAGTCGCCTTCTGTGCCGAAGAAACAGTTTCAGTGTGCGTATTGCCTTCGCTTGGAACGCCCTCCCTGAAGTTGTTGTCTCAGCGCCCAATACGGAGGCCTTCAAACAGTGCCTAGACGCTTGGCTCTTACCTCGCTGGTCTTCCACGTTGCTAAGATCTGGCCATTTGCCAAGCTAACACGCGACGCTTCTATCATTTTGCTTCTATCCAACATTGCCGAATTTACCTACACCACTCTCTTGTTCCAGGTATCCACGTTCCCACAGTCAACTCGCTGAATACTTGTGCTGAACACCACTACTGCGTCGAGACCCACAACATCTGGTACCTACCGACGAGATCAGGACCTTGCCGTAAGATCCCGAGGCAGAACCACCGAAAAGCTACGCTTACTCGTTCTGCGCAAACCCGTGAAACCCGTGAATAGATGTGGTATCACCTTTGACAACTCAAATGCTCGTCATTCACTGGTCGAATATGACATGGAACCACACACATGGAGGCTGCGCTAGCTGATCGTACGTATTGAAGTATTGAAGTGACCTCACGCAAAGGCTAACAAACAGATCCCTGCACTTAGCCAACGTTGATAATTATTTGGAAGAACTAAAGTTTTAATTTCCACTTCAGCTAATCCAGTGCACATGCCACTGCCTTTTGAGCAAGCCGGGTTTTCATCACTGATGATGACGCCCGTTGGGTGTTGAAAATAGGAAACCTAGCCAGGCATATTTCAGCTAGGAAATAAGCTGATCCAATCGGGGACTAACGATGCTGGCCGAAAGCACCTGGACTTAACTCCTGTGCCCTAACCGATTTGACGGGAGTGGTTTAGCCCACCACTTCGACTGATTTATGTTGCCGATGGACTAGAACACTGTCTAGAGATTTGCAATACATTTTGTGCACTATACTTCCGAGCAGTAGGTAGTTTCTCTATCAGCCAACTAATCCCCAACTTCAGTAAAAATATCATGACTTGGATAATGTCAGTTGTTACTCGCGCAATACTCTGCGTTCCATAACTTGTTATGCATTCGTTTTTACCTCTAAAGTTGGATATAGTAGAATGGATAGTTTGTAATCGAGAAACGCACTTACTTGTGGCACCGAGCCTCTGGCAAAGCTTACAGAATCAGGTCTTCCAAAAAAAACCAAAAGGAGCTATTAACTATTATGATAATGCTTCCTCGTGGAGCTGGGTGTTGCAAGCTCAAACTAGTGAGTTGTTAATCTCAACATCCCGATTTTCACTTTTAACTCGAGTACCTCAACCTGAAAAGTGCACTGGAGCCAGAAGTCTGTCGTGCGTTGCAGAATTGCGATCGGCTATCAGCCAACGTTTAGCTAGTTCAGATACAATCGCAGTGACTGGACTTCAAAGTAAACTGTGGTCTCCATTGAGATTGTCAAGATACACCAAGCAAACAGGGGTTATAAGTAAAACAATTAGGGTTGACTTAGTTCCCTTAACAGTTTGGAAAACGACCAAACTTACTCTTGATTGGTGTTGTATTCAGCGCTATTCCGGACAAATTCGGGCAATCCCGAGAAAGTGAGGAATGAAGCTGTCCCCTGGGAGTTGACCACAGAATATTGCAGTCCATATTATATTTGTTTCGATGGGTAATAAAACTCAGCTGTAAAAGTGTTGCTAGAATGGTTCAGCTAAAATTATCAGCTGACCAGTAAAATGAAGTTTGCAGCCTAAAACAGCTGGCTAGTCTGAGGAATGTTCAAGTGCGCGTAGCGTCCGCGCACGAGCTGCGAAATTCAAATTAGTGCACCTCACTGGTCCAGACCCAATCAGCGTCATAGCGGACCGAGTGTTGAGCTCTGCTCTGATTGAAGATTGCCCTGCTCTCACCGAATGGCCACGTACACTTTAAGTGAAGGCGCCTTGGCCCACCACCCCTTTTAGATCCTGAACCGCAGCTGTTCTGGCGTTGCACTATGTCTATTGATCCACGCGAATCCACTCGGAGGGGGTTTGTTGGGAGGGCAAATTATAATGCAGCAACGTACTCTACGAATAACGTTCATTATTCCAATTGCGCCTCATATCGATCAGACTGTGAACTCTGCCAAGTATCGATTGTAACTAAACACGTCAACATCAAACGCGCCCTGAATGCCCCCCCGTGCAGGATGCGTGTGGACGAAACGGAATATACCAATATCGTTGACGGCATCAATTGTGAGTGCAGTAGGCAAAGTGCGTTTTTTCTAGTTTGGCTAACCGTCTAACAACTACGAACTCGATAAAGCTGTTTGACCAGCGTCCTGCAAAACTCATCGAACAATCGCCGTCAGAAGTAACCTATTTGCGCACAAGGTGGTTCAAGCAGCGTGGTCTCCCAATAACCCTAGCTTCGGTTGACTTCAACAGGTTGTTCGTAAATTTACTCACGATGCTGTTTCTAATTTCCACTTGTTTAAAATAGACGATCCACTGCGCAGGACAAGAAAACCACTCAACTCATTTATTCAAGTGGCGGAAGGCCACTAGATAAAACCTGAGAATACTCTCTGTGAATGTTTCACGCTAGCAGCAACTGGTGACAGGCAGAGGCGATCAAGTGGGATAGTGAACTGTACCGCGTTGAGAACTCAATGAACACCGACCTAAGTTACTGTGTGTAGGAAAATTGACTATAAGGGGCAATAAGAAGTATGAAACCTTAGGCATTTTTACACCGAGTCCGATGGTCTCATCTGCGGCTACTGTGCTTCATACTGCCTTTTACGTACCGAAAAATGTTGGATGTGAACAAAGTTCTAATTACAGCCAAATCGGTACTGAATGGTACATACTAGTTATTATAATAATATACATTCGCGGGTTCAGGAGATGTGCCACTTTTTCTCTTGATCAATTTTTTACAATTGTTTCGTGTAATATCCATAAGATAGTCCAGATATGAGGCGGAAATAGGAATCATATTTTTAACCTCGATGAAACACTATTTCCAAGCTACAAGTGGGCATAGCACACTTCATGGAGTTTAATGGTAAGCTCCGCGTATGGACGAAACCAAGCTTTGCTTGAGTGAGGGATGAAGAGCAATTCTGTGGTATAAGAGAAACATTGAAACCGAACTGAGAACGCATAAAAGTAACATTTTATGTAAGCCAAGGCTGATTTCTGTATTTTGCTGCATCCTAAAATAGAGTGGTGCAAGATGGAGATATTTACTTATTTTCAGCCCAGTAGCTATATACAGTAGGCCGGAGAAAAACTTGGGGGATTGTGATTTATTGTGTGTGAAAGTGGCGTGGTTTGCTTTATTCAATAGGCTCAGATGTTTTGGTCTAACTGTGCAATTAGGCGCGTGCAAGTAAGAGGAAAAATGGAAAAAGAATATGGGAAATAATGCTGAAGATGTATGAGGCAGAATCGGTTCGCTTCTCCCTGCGGTCGAACATGTTTGCATGAACCAAAGGGGAAGCCTGTTCGGTTACCGTTTACTACCCAACTCACACTTTTGCTTATGGTTGTAAGGTGGACGCGGCTAAGCAGAACATGTAAAGTGGAGGTAAAATGGGCGGAACAATTTCAGTTTGCAGTTCTTCTGCATCCCACACTTGTATATTTGCCGATGAGATGTGTATTCTTCTGCAGTTTATCCAAGTTCAGACTGCTCAGTTAGTTGAAGATACTCTCAACAGCCTAGCCCCAGACGCTGTCACATGAATATGCCATCACTCCTACGTGCCCCGCACATGTGACTACAGCCAGCCGGTCTGACGGTCCATCTCCAAGCGTCATGATTTTCGGGAAAGCACTCTACCATAATTCTACTGAGCGCAATCAGGAAGATTTCACACAGCAATCAGGATCCCATGCTGGTGCTTCACAGAGCCCAGCTGCCATTCAATCCCAGCGATCTAAATGCTTAAGGTTTACTAAGCATAGCTTGTGGTACGAAATACGATTATCTATTGAAATCTATACACACGAGTGTACTCTAAAACTACAAAAGTGTGTTTATCAACCTAATTGCATTAGTTAAGGGGATGTAGGAATGCTTCTCAGTGCTGAGTAGGAAGCTGTTTCACAATCAACTAAATGCACGTGGACGGAGGATGGGTGACACTGATACATTCAGTGGGCAAGATGAGGTATAAAATGCATAATTTACATGAGTATTAATTCATCAGTTGCGCAGCATGTTGGCCGTAGAACGTTGCTTATTCAACTAGATGGTCATTAAATAACACCAAGAGAGGAAATTATGGTACATAGGTAACCAAACAGATCTAAGTTTCTGAATGTGCAAACAGTGTAGCTAAATATGGATTTCCATCTATCTTAGGAAGTGAGAATAGTTGGCACTTAGAATGCACAGCACCGAGCTCCGAAGAATTGCGCTCATATTCTTGTGACTGATTCTCTTTTTATCTCTGAAGATGTACATGATTCACCAACATGCTCATAGATTCCATTTGGTGGTTCACGAAATCAGCCAAAATGTACTGCGACGAATATGCGCTAGATATACCAGTTATGTGCATCAGTGTTGTTCTCTCCATCGTCACACTCCACAACATGTTTCGTTCTGGTTTGGGCGTATCAGGTAGGGATGGCGCGAGTTGGGGGTAGAACTGAGCGCATAGTGGTTGGGGGCCATCACCATGACCACTAGGTCATTGAGCACCGCGAATATTGCTTGTCACAGCGGTTAGAAGTTGATGATCACGTTTTGAAATACCCGCCATGTGTCTTGGATTGCAATACGCAATCTCAGTTGTAGCTTCGGTTGACTCTGGAGTCAGCCTCTGCCAATACGGTCACTGGGACCGTCACCGAAGTGGAGGGCCTCGGCGTTGCTCTCTTCAATCTTTGCACTCCACGACAGACGATTTTTTCCTGGTTTGGGGTTGTCAGGTGTAGATAGCTTGAATTGAGTGTGGAACTGATCACGTGGTGGTTGGCGGCTATCACCGTGATCACATAGCCACTGAACTCCGCGAGCAGCGTCTGACGCAAAGGTTAGGAGTTGATTGTTGACGTTGATGAATGCAAAATCTTTATTTGGTTTTGGGCTGCGTTCAATGTCTGAAAATCGCCTCCTATTGCATCACCAATAAAAACACGTGCAACTGATCACCTTTGTTAGGTTTATACCTCAGTTTTCCAAGCCAGCCTACTTAAACTATGCTGTTACGTCAGAGCCATGGGTCAGAATTAGGCGGTATCGCAAATATTGACTGAATTAAACTAATCGCTGTGACTTCGTACACTTTGCTCTTATGTGGTTAATTCCTCACTTCAATCACATAAAGCCCCTCAGAATAGGCCGGTCTTTTTGAGTTGACTCATAAGGACACATCGCAAAGAGGTAAACGCGACCTGTATCTTTCTGGTGGATAAACCACAAGTGATGTGAGCACTCCGTGGGATGGGCACAACATTTAGTTTATAGCCTTAACACAAGTAAACAGGCTCAGTGATGCAGTCAAACGCTGGGTGGTGACCGTATTAAACACTGTGTTCCAAGACCAATTCCGTGTTTGCTTGCGAGCCCCAGGCAGCGACTGTTGGGTAGTAAATAGGGCACAGAAGGTATAGATTCAGGACAGATACAATCATCGTTTTACCGCTAGAGTGCTCGAGGAACACATGCCAAATGGGCAGCGCACCTTTGCTAGTTTCCCTGAAGCTCGCCGTGCAAGTGAACTGCGACAGGTAATATATACCTGGAGAGCATGAAAAAGCACAAAGCCTGTCACTGAGTACAATGTTTTAAGCTGGAAACACCTGGCCATTAGCTGTTTCAAATCGGGTTCTCCCACTGGGCCGAACACGTCTTACTTCAAAATAAATCGATATTCAAACTAAAGTTGCACGTCGAAGTCCATGCGTTAAGTGAGCACCCAAAAACACGCAAATGAGGAGACTAGCTTGCATTCGTCGACCAACAAAGCAATTTCTTAATGCGGGCAAAATAGCTAAAACTTAAGATCGATGGGATGGTCGTGGAAAATATTGCAGAAGCTGGAAAAGTTTCAACGAACATTCACATCGATGGACTCACCGCGGTACACGTATTATAAACTGTAATCCACCGTAACTCCATGAGGAATGACGACAAACTGACGCTGGTACATACCATGTAGCCTCCTGGTAGACACGTGCAGGAAGTGAATGAGACAGAATATATTCTGCGAGCTGACCGGCAGTGGAAGCTCTGCCACTCGTGTTTGGCCATGGGCAGTGTGTCATGTGTGATGATGTGGCGAAACGAGTGCACCGTGAACGCGGGCACAGATGAGGGAATTTGGAAAGGCGCTCCACGCTTGGTAAACACTTATGGAGAAGCAATTCCGATGACACTCCTAACGACTGTATTACTCTGTCAGCTTCAGATGGTGGAATCCCAGATTGCCTTTATGACTGAGTTTCGACTAAAGATGGCATGTGTGGTTTGGATCTCTCAAAATCTGGGAAATCCAATTAAGGTCCCTACGCAGTCTCCAGTATCGTCGGCTGAAGACCGCAAGCATTCTCAGCCTTGGTTCATATGATGCATGGTACAAACCTTTGAATTTCTTGGTTGTCCGACGTCGAGGCACGTCCACGGCGGTGAAATCTATCCTCAATCATGGCTGCCACAACTGTACTGGGCATTTCTCTTGTGGACGCATGTATACGCCAAGAAGCTACTGAAAAATCGACGGGCCAAACCGTTCGAATTCATGTTGCAGAGGTCAGCTTTGGATGCCACCTTGTGATGTCTTTTCAACCTGCTTCGAACACCCAAGTTCGGCCTGGAACAAAACGCTTATCTCATTTTTGTCAGAAAACGTCTGAAGCTCCTGGCTCTCCCTTTTATATCGTCACACCAGCTGGTGTCTTTA